GGCAGCGACAGCCGACAAACGCCGCTGATGCGGCTGGTGCCGCTTCAGGAGTTGGCGGCGGACAAGTCTACGGATATTTTCGCTCCAAGATACGCAGCAACCGGTCGCCCCCGTGGTCTAGTGGGTAGCCTCGCAGCTTGCTAAGGGCCAGGTCATGGGTTCGAGTCCCGGCAGAGAGAGTTTTTTTCTCATTAAATAAATCCTGGTCTAGGATGAAAGCGACCCGCTGCAAAGCTCGTTTGTTAGTAAACCATAATCGACTTCGTAAGTCGCGAGGGAAGGGATTGCTGTACCCTTCTCGCGATAAAAATACCTCAGGCATGAACCGCAGGAGGGGGTCCAACCCCCCCCTCCTATGTGACCCCGGTTGGGTCGTCCAGCTAGTAGAAGTGGAGGATAGGGGCCAGAGGGGCAGACGACAGAGTCCAATGATGGGAGAAAAACAAACAAAAAAACAACGCAGCCACGTGAATCCGAACCCTAGATAGACTACAGAGCAAGCGCGTCCAACGGTTGAAACTGTTTGACCAAACAAGACATGGGCGCCGCAGCTCTCAACAAGCTGAAGGACCAATCCATTACTCTAAGTACACCTGTGCGGTGAAAACAGCAGTAATTGTCGGTCAAAGCGGCACACACACGCAGATTACCATCACAGAGTCGAAAGAGAGCGCTGCTGATGCCAACGGCTTGCCACCTGCTCAATCGCTTCGGCAGAACGCTTCATTGAGGCCTGGCTGGCCTCCAGCTCTGCCCTTAACTCCGCCACCCCCGTACCGGCCGCGAACCTCTCCACCAGTTCTGCTGTCGCCATCATCTTCTTGCTCTCCTTTGTCTCCCGCCGGCGGTCAAAGCGCAACGCACCAGGTTCCGCGCCTTGCTGTTTTCGGCTGCCAGTCACTGTTATCCCTCGCCTGCCGCCTTTTTTTCCTTCAGGACCTCTACTAGCCCAGTCACTTCCGTCGGAGGGCGCCTGATTGATGCTACGCTCGCTCTGCTGATGATAAGTGGGTTGTCTTTTTTGAGACGATGGGCCCTGCAGACCTCGGACCCAATCCTCCACTTCGATCCTGCCTGCGCCCGCTATCGATCCCCTAGTCATGTCTCCCCCGCTGCCGCCGCTCATCACCGAAGCACCACTCGAACTCTTGAATCTTTCCCGATGATGACGATCTTCCCTGAATGGTAGCCCGGCAGCTGGCCCTCTTCTGTCTCGCCCTGGCCTTCTTCGTCCCTCACCTCCAAGGCGTGCTTGTTGGCCCATCGTTTCCTCCCCCTCCTCCGTAGCAACCCTCTCCGCAAAGGCGAAAGCCTGCTCGAGCAGCACGGCATCCTTTCCTGTGAACGAGGCTGCCGCGGCCGTTCCTTGGGTTCGATCTGGCCCCGCAGAGGCAGCGCTATCTCGTTGGTCAAAGGCGGCCGCGCTGCCGACGGTCAGGGAAGGAGCTGGTCGGATGAGACCTCCGGACTGGCTTCGGGTGGGCTTCTTCGCCCGTCTTTTGTCTTTCGTGTTAGTCAGGGTAGATGTGACGCTGCTGCTGCTACTGCGACTGCCGCGCCTCCTTTCTTTGTCGTGACCACGCTTGCTTCCAGGATTGTTGTTGTCCACGTTGCCTCCATTGCCTGCCCGTGAAAGGAACAACTTGGGGAGACTCCTCGAAGCTGCGTCTCCTCCCCCTCTTTCCAGCAAAGAACCTTGACGACAATCGCCTGCGCCGTCGTCCGTTGCAACGTAGTCGAAGCTTGGCGGGGGACGGGCGAGAAGTTCTTCCAGCCCTCTGCGTATCACCTCCTGCTCCTGGTCGTGCACATGGTAATCATTGCTGCTGCTGTCGTTGTTGTCGTTTCCGCTGTCTGGTCTTCCCGCTGCCGTCAACACTGGAGAAGGCCCACCCACCGATTCTGAAATCGTGCTGTCCTCGTGGCTAGTTTTCGAGCTGCGTGGTGAAGTCGGGTGAATGGCATCCTTGGGTGGGGCTCCTGGCCCACTTTCAAGCGACTGCCGCGTCCGCAGCATGCCGGAATCGTCGTGTGGGCGACTGCTATGGCGAATCAACGAGGGAAAGGGTAGGGTCCGCTGACACAACGAGTCGCCACGCCGACAGGTGGCAGAGTCGTTGAAAGGGCTAGCTGGAACAGGTGCTAGCAGCCGGTGGTGTTGCTTGTGATGCTGCTTCGGACACGGGTGCTCCTTCACTCGCCTCCGATTTCGGCGAGTCCGCTGAAGCTTGCCGGCGACTTGTTTGCCGGCTGCTCTGTTGTCTTGACCACCGTCAACAGGCAGCCCACCGCTACCGGTGTGACGTGGAAGTGTGGCGCTTGCCCCCTTTGTCTTTGTCGGGGCACCCATGTAGGTGAATACCAGCGTGCGTCCTGTTCACATGCCCAGCAGACGTGTCCTTGAACCCACAAGAGATGGGATGCATGTTTGGATTGGATCCAAAACATGCGACGAGGGTTTGTGGAAACCCCTAAAAAAATATGACGGTTAGTCTAGAAAAGTCTCGTGTCGACGTGTCGACGGATCCATTTATTTATTGCTGAACATGCCCTTCATGTAGACACGCGGTCTAGCACTCAGGAGATTTCGCGAGAACGAGAACAGAAGGGCCGTACGAAAATGTGTAGTGTCCCTTTTCCCATCCACCTACAACTCGAGCCCTTCTCTATAGATATTTACATATTTACTCCCTCCGTTCCCATATATAAGCGTGATTTGGACAAAATGCGGTCTATCTTTTTAGGCCTGTCCTCCATCGGCCGTTTTATTTTCGATTGAGATACACAAACTTTATTTCTATACTAATTTCAAGTAATTCCACCTTCTTATTCTCCGTCATACAAGCAAAACGGCCGATGGAGGACAGCAGGCCTATTTCTATCTTGGTCAATTTTTATTTTTAGTCTTTTTTCTTTTTCCGAACCGTTTTTTTCCTTGGTTTCGCCGCGCTCGCGCGGGGCGCGCAGAGCGCAGAACCGAGAACCGGTGCTTTTTTTCAAACCAACCAAAAAGGTGTGTCCTACCCCAGNAGGCCTATTTCTATCTTGGTCAATTTTTATTTTTAGTCTTTTTTCTTTTTCCGAACCGTTTTTTTCCTTGGTTTCGCCGCGCTCGCGCGGGGCGCGCAGAGCGCAGAACCGAGAACCGGTGCTTTTTTTCAAACCAACCAAAAAGGTGTGTCCTACCCCAGCAGAAGTTGCTCGAAATCACCACCCCAACTTTGAACCTCCGCCCAAAAGCCTTCCCATCTCCTGGTGAGGGATGTCTGCTGCTGGGAGTGCCTCCCAGGTGGCAAAACGCAAGAATTTCAACAATTCAGAAAAAGAGGAGGTGATTCGGCACCTCCTCACTGGCAGCAAGAGCGGTTTTTTTTTGCGACGGGAGAGGGGCAAGGGGCAGCTGTGTAGAATGGGGCGGGCGGGTAGTTATTTGCTTTCGGTGTCCGTGCACCTTTTTTTGGCAGAATGTCGTGTACGTGTTGCGTGTAGCAGAAAGGAGCACCGCGTTTCGCGTTGGACACTCTTTTTGTCCGCTGAGTGAGGCAGACGAGGGCGGTGGCAGATTGTAAACGTACAGCAGTTGTGGCGTCAAGGATGTTTATGAAGGAGCAAAAACATTTGGAAATGCTATGAAGAATGCAATGCATGGTGAACAACGGGGTATGAGTGTTAAGCTTGTGCGAGCACTACTGCTGTAAAAGCGACATTTTAACACCACCTTGGCGGCGATTCTACTGCTGCTGTCCGCACGCCAACTTGACCCCCGCCCCCCCCCAGCTTAATGTCCGAGCTATCCCATTCGAAAAACGGGGCGGTGCTGCCATAAATACGCCCGGGAGTTTGTTTTTTGAATGCGGCCATGAATCATTTGGCACCCGCAGTTCGTTTCTCCCGTGGCTGGGTACAATTATGCTCGATTTTCCTCGATTTCACCAACCAGGGGATGACAACGGATCATCCCCTCCCTTTGTGACCGGAACATTTTTTTTTTCGTCCAATGTGATACGTGATTACATCCCGAAGTTGTCCGACGTCCCACAATGACCTAACGACATATTTTGGAGCATGTAGTGCAAACCACGCTTATATTCGGAAAACCCAAATCACGCTTATATATGGGAACGGAGGGAGTACTATTTATTATAGTGTCCATTTCGCGAGATCAACCGCAGCGCTTGACTTGTAGCTTTCACTTGAGTTAACTGGACAGGGATCTCGGGGCATCTGCAGGCCGCGCGACATAAGCCGGTGGAAAACTGAACGCACGTGGAAAAAACTCAAGCTGAGAGTTATAGAGTTTCATAAAGACCGGAGGTCGCGAGACTATAGACATACGTCACAGCGGTCCACCGTAACATACATGTAGGTACAGCAGTAAATCTTTGCGTGGTAAAAAAGCAAAAAAAATGAGCGACTACAGGCGTTTCGAACAGATCTCCGGTCAGCCCTTGTCACCCTGCCCTCTGACAGCGCCACGGTCCCAGGTGTTGCTTGATTGTGCTGACAACGCCATACATGTCCTCGAAGCATTGGTGGACTAGCTGTAGACAAGTTGCGGGAGGGGAATATTTCGTAACGTCTGCATCGATCAGTGGAGCAGATGTTTGCACAAAGCACAGCTGCTGTGTCGCCCCCCCCCCCCCCCCCCC